GGCACTTATGATAAAACAAAATATATTTTAAAGTAATTTCTAGCGAAACTTGTTGTGTATTTAAATGTATTCGTAATTACACATTTGTTATGATTTTTGTAATGAAAGTTGCAATGTACAATGTACAGTTGCATGTACAATTTATACATTTAAATATATATTAACTTTAAATGAAATATCAAATGACACACATTTTTAAAACTATAACCAAGTACTTTATATGTGCTTTAGTATTTTAGTCAGCACATCAAAATAATAAAATGCACTAAAAATAATAAAGTGCACTTTAAAGCGTGACAAAACAAAGATTTAAAATATTCTTTAAAGCTTTAAATTCGCCATATTACAAAGTGCACTTTTTTTTCTTTAAAAGTATACTGAAGTTTGTTAAGAACAGTTATGAAAGTGTCAATGAAAGTTTTTAAAAAATATACTTTTAAGATTTAAAGGGTTAGTTCACCCAAAAATGAAAATTAGCCCATGTTTTACTAACCCTCAAAGCATCCTATGTGTATATGACTTTCTTCTTTCAGATGAATCCAATCGGAGTTATATTTAAAAAATTCCTGTCTCTTCCAAGCGTTAAAATGGGAGTAGGCGGTGGTGTAGCAAATTAGCTCAAAAGGGAAATGTATATAAATAATTACAATTAATCTTAATTAATTACAATTATTTATATCAGCCTCCAGTAGTAACTGTAGCAGAATTTATATTGTCATCAACTAATCTGTTCGTCCAGCGAACATTCAGTGTAATTTCATATCAACTCTAAGTAAGGATATTTTTGTGGCCACAGAAAATAACCCTCTTACAGTATTAATGCATTAGAGTAGTGTTTCTCAACGGGGGCGGTACCGCATCATTTCCATAGCTTTCTGTAGCGCAGCTGCCAGACTTTCAGTGAAAACAATAGCAAACATTTAGACACGTTAAAATGAGTATGAATGCTTTTTGTTTGCCGTTTGGCTGAGGTTGGTTTGAATGCCAAATTTCAAGAGTTTATTGAACGCTCATAAATATAGCCTAATTTATATTCACGTGGCTTTTTTTTTTTTGCTCCTTGGGAAACTAATGATAATGGTATTTCAAGTCCAGTAAAATCAAATATGTGATGAATGTCATGTGGCATTCAATGACATATTTTTCAAATTATATTAAAGGGGTCATATGATGCTGTTTTAAAGATAATTATTTTGTGTATTTGGTGTAACAGAATATGTTGACATGCTTTAATGTTCAAAAAACACATTATTTTTCAAATACTGTACATTATTGTAGGTCCTCTATGCCCCGCCTCTCTCAAACGGGTTAAAATACATGCTTTTAAAATAGGTTAACATTACACATAAAATATAGCCTATAATATACACTACCATTCAAAAAAAAAAAAAAAGGTCAGTAAGATTTTTTTAATGGTTTTGAAACAAATCTCTTCTGCTCAGTAAGGTTGCATTTATTTGATCAAAAAAAAAAAAAACAGCAAACACTACATCTACAATTTGAAAGAATTGCTTTGCTGCTTTCCTCTCATACTAAAGCTCCATTACTCCAGCTTTCAGTGTCACATCATCCTTCAGAAATCATGCTGATTGCTGCTCAAAAACATTTCTTCTTATTATTATAGCTGGCACACCACACTGACACAAAAGCAAGATTTGAAATTTAATGGACTAACGAAGATATAAATCAGGACGGCACTAACATAGTTTTGAAAATGAGGAGCATATGTTTCCCATCTTATTACTTAGTTTTCTTTTAAGCATTTGTAAGCAAACTTTGAAATATTCTCACAAAATCATGAAATATAGTAAAGGGGGTTTACATTTCTTCCATTTGCATGTATAAATGTAGTATTTACAGACCAAAATGACCATGTCTACTATGTCAGAAAAAAAAGGAAATTCAACATATTCTCAAAAACAGGGTATTTTCTAAAACTAAGAGATAAATATTAGCCTATTATTTTTCACTGAAAGCTGATAAATGATAAATCACAGGACAGTGTTGACAATTTTCTGCACTCCTGAATGTTTCTATGTGCACGCGATCTCTACATTATGTGCGAGCTTATGTGTTGTGTGCGTGCGTGCAGTGTAGCAGCACATTAGTTTAGAGTGGAGATTAGCTACCTGTACAATAAACTGTTTAAAATGTGAATTCAGCCAGTCAGTTTTGATTGTCCACATGCTACAAACAAACATGCTTGAGATATAACCTCCTGCACTTGTCCATCGCCGTCATTATAACCCTCACCTTCTTTCTTATTTGAGTGATCCACATATCTGTCAAACTAGCTAATGATGTTTAATGCTTGAATTCTTGATAAAATGCCGTTATATTATGGGCTGTTGGCATTCATTGTGCATTGTGGTAGTGGAGCACTCTCGGAGTGACTGAAAACTGAGACGCACCGACTTTCAAAAAATCCACTTCTCGCTCCAGTCAAAAATCACTCCGCTCACTCTGCCAGGAACGGAAGAACAAAAAATCTCTTCTGTAAAAATGCCCCAGTGGATATATTCTAAACAAGAATTTTTATCAAGTCTTTTTAAATTTGGGGCAACAACATCACCAAATATTTAGCAATGAAAATCGCAAACATGCTTAAAAACACTTTAAATAAACGTCATTGCACTTATTTTCAAATAATCTATTTTAAAAGTGTATTTTACTGTCATTTCATTTTTTTTTTCATCAATTTAATGGATCCTTGAATTAAAGTAATTTCTTTTAAAAAAGTAATGACCCCATACATTTTAATGCTACTGTAAATATAATACCAGTCCTCATTATAAACACAAAATAATAATCAACTTCAATAGTCTGTGAAGACAATTAGACTACTTTTTATTTGATGGGGGGCAGTGAGGTACCTGAATAATGGGTAGGGGGGCGCTGGCCCAAAAAAGGTTGAGAACCACTGCATTAGAGCATGTAGATTCATCGGAATCGAAAAAGGGACATTATTCACAAGCGGTGAAAGAATCAGAATCAAAAGTTTTAACTAAACACTAACACATAATTAGTCTAAACAAACAAACTAATCAACATACACTCACGCGTACATACAAAGGGGAGCTAAAGTGGATGAATTAAGCCATTAGAGAAACCAGAGAATGCAGTTATGGAAAATGAGTCAGATCCACCTTAGTTAAAAACCATCAGTGCCGTTTTACAACGGGGTCTACAGTACAGCTTATACTAAACCTCTGTTTCGTTTAGTTAAATGTACGATACTTGCATTGCCTTGGTCATTGAACGAGTGTCCGGATGCAGTCTCGGATGAAAGTCTTGATGATTTCAAGGTTTTGGACTTGCAATCACGTTCTTCCGGAGTCAGCTGAAGTCTGAGGATTTTTGGTGGATGAAAAGACGAGGCACAAAACTTGGGGGTCCAGAAGAAAACTTCAAGCTCAGCATCCTCATCTTCTCAGAATCTAAAAGAACTTTAGACTGAGCTGTGTCGAGGCCTGTCAGGAGCGGCTGCGCCGGCTCTGGGACTTAGCAACCAGAAGATGGGAAGGTGATAAGAGACGAGTGAAGAGACTAAAAAGCGAGGCGGGTCACTGAAGTGAGGTCTTTTAAGTTCTGTGGAGGTCACACCTCTCGAGTGTCAAAGAGCCAATGGTGACTTGCACTTTTGGAGGGAAAGTTTATGACTCTTTGTCTCCGAACATGGTAATTTGCATATGTAACTGGATTGGATGTTGATGCAAAGACTACTAAAGATTCTTAGAACACTAATATGTTGCGTAAGTATCAACATATAATATAAACTCTCAATTAGATCATCCGAAGACGAATTTATAGAGACCAAACATGGTATAGGTAAGGTTACGTGAACGAGTGGTTCTATCATAAGCATGCATCAAACAGTATACAATATATAAGACAATATTCAAGAACAGTAATGGTATACACAATGACCTGAGGATATGTGTGTTCATTCACAGAAAGGTTTTTCTATGAATTAATTAGAGAAGAGTCCATTTTTATGGGCATTATGTGTCTTTCCTAAGGGGAAATGGAGTGAGTGTTGCTCTGCCTACGTTCCTTTGAGCAATACAGCTAGTGTTATCAGAAGATTTGTCTTTGGTTGCCATGGAACCAGAGGCCTGTTCTGCCTTTTTGAGGTGTTCGTTGCATTTCGGGGGAAGGGTCCATAGACCCTCATAGTTGCCTTGTTGGTGGAGTGAGGGCGTGTTGGGGATTATTTGTTAAATATAACAAATAGTTGTGTGTCTGATTGGTCCAAACGCTAACAGCGGGTGTTTTTGTTCAACAGTCCAAAAGTAGTCAAATAAAGCGTGCGCATCCCTAATAAAACGAGCCTCACCCGGCTCTGGGGGGGGGGTGAATAAAGGCCTCCTGTAGCGAATCGATGCGTTTTTGTATGTAAAATATCCATATTTAAAACGTTATAAACACTTTTTTTCTCACTTCCGCTGACTGTCATACATGCAAGCCGTTCCGGCGGATGACGAAAAAGTGTTTATAACGTTTCAAATATGGATATTTTTTTTTACAAAAACGCATCAATTCGCTACAGGAGGCCTTTATTGAATTTAATTTAATTTCTTAATTGTTATTGTATGCATACAACTTTCATTGTACCCACCAAAAAAATTTCACATGCAAAGTATTATTCACCCCCCGGAGCCATGTGAGTCAGATTTTATTATGGATGCGGGCGCTTTATTTGACTACTTTTGGACTGTTGAACAAAAACACCTGCCTACTCCCATTCTAACGCTTGAAAGAGCAAGAAAATGTTTTAATATAACTCCGATTGGATTCGTCTAAAAGAAGAAAGTAATATACACCTAGGATGCTTTGAGAGTGACTAAACATGGGCTAATTTTCATTTTTGGGTGAACTAACCCTTTAAGTATTAGGTACACTACAAGTGCACATTCAGTACAATTGAGTGCATATCTTTTCAAGCCCTGCATTTTGTTTTCTTTAAAAATTCATAATTTCAAAAGTAACAAACATCTTACTGCATTTTCCTCCTCCTGGCTGTTGCTGGCGTCTTCTCTTTTGCGGTACTTGTCTGATGAACGTGAGTCTCTCTTCCGGCTGGTATCAGTTCCCTCGATCGGCCTCTCACCATCTGTAAATGAGACAATGACCGCACACATTCACTTTATATTTCATCAGCAGTATTATTGGTTCTCTATCATTACCATTTATATTGCATACAGCACGCAGAAATCATGAGCAGCCATTATAGTGACTCTTCTTAGCAGTTTAAATCATTCTTAGAGAGAGACAGCAAGAGAACCCATGAAAATGGCTACAGCTGGGGTGCAAAATTAACACTTGCCAAGTGCCAAATGCAAATAAAATTGCCTTTGGCAAGAAAATGAATAAATAAATACACCTCTCATACACCTGGACGCCAGCAGCTGTGTAGGCAAGTATTATGAAAAATGCCTGAAGAAGGTCTTTGAACAAAATGTTGTTTATCAAAAAATATTTGCAAGCTACAACACTAGGATTGCTTATTTTTTTTCACTATTTTGGGGAGGAATACTACCTTCCAGTTAGGTGATGGCCTTACAGAGCTAAACTTTGACTATAAGCACAAGTTCTGGTCCACATCGCAGCTTATTCAAGCTGAGAACTGCCCACTTAGACAGGAAGAGACTGTCTGACATATACAGCAATCAAACAGTTTCTTCACTGATTTGAAATGCTAAAACCAGTTAGCCTAACTTGGAACTGCAACATAAGAAACTTGAGTGTTGAGAATTAATCAAAAAAAAGATAATAGTATTCTACTGACAAACTTGTACCGCAAGTAAATTCCTACGTCATCTTTGGTTAATACTGAATAATTTTAACTATTTTTTATAATGTATAACCCACAATGCGCACTCCAACTTCCCAATTCTCTGGTCCAGAATACCGCAAACACATACAAGTTATGTATTACAAACTGTAAAGAATCCCTGTGCTATTATACTACACCCAACCCAGGCTCACTAGAAAAATGTGCATATGGCAACATTTTAGCAAAATGATATTATGTTACACTTAATATACACTTTTAAAGTGAACTGTCCAGTAAGTGGCGCTAAAAGCATCTTCAGTTTTATCCGAGACAATCTGGCAACATTTTATTACATTGAGTGTTGTATGTATCATGGCAGTTCAGAAATGAAATATCTGAAGAACACTTTATTGCATATAAAAATAATGCACCACCTACATTAAACCCTACCTTAAAGGGTTAGTTCACCCAAAAATGAAAATAGGCTTGTGTTTTACTCACCCTAGAGGCTGCCTTTTCAGTGGCACACGAGATGCGATGACGATGTAAGTGTCATTACATTTTCATGTTTTTGTTAGCCTATCCAGTTGAAGCCACTAGATGCGGTGCTGCTGTGTTGTTGATTACAAATATTGCGGGAAAAGAGAACATCAATGCGGAGAAGATCTTGTTTACGTCAAAACTGAAACAAAGCCGTTCCCACAGAATGCGTGTTTTGGGCATTTTCTAGAGGGACATCTATCACTGTTACACTCGCGTCTCGCACAAAAGAGCCACATATTTAGAAAGCCATGTAAAATTAATGTAGGTTTAGCTTTTAAAAAAACATATATCGAGACTTTATGGCGGGTTTTTCCCCCATCCCACTGCAACTCGTGTTTTTAAATGAAAAATGTACTCTCTGTGATTGGCTTTCTGCCCTTTGTATTAAACTATGCATACATAATGCTGTTTAGTTTATAGTTGTTTAAGCAACTTAATTAATTATAATTGGTTTATAAACATTATTTTTTTCAAAAAAGTGAATTTTTTTTTTATATGCACTTTTTTTCACAGATAGTCATGTTATCTTATGCTTTGAAGAAACGTGGATTAGTAATATTTTGCTCGATGCGCCCTCTTGTGGCCTCAGA